TTAACAATGAATTAGCTTAGGAATTGAAGTGAAAATGGGGAGCGTTTTATGAGAGAAAATATGTGAGCAAGAAAAGGAAAAAGAATGAAAAAATTCGAAAATAGGGACAATTATCGCTCCTACTTATACCAACCCGAATCCCTTTTTTTTTTGTTGAATTCGAGTTATTACAAGCAAACATTTTGACTACTTGTAGTGACATTAGAAAAACCTTCAACCACCTTAGCTAAACCTATAAGATATTTTGACAACGAGTTACTACTCTCCTTCCTCGACCAATTGAATAATTAGTTCTCATTGGGGATGAAAAGAGTAGAATTGACTCCCAAATCGGACCCTTAAACCTTTCAAAATATTTTTTGGTAAAAATTATAAAATAATTATACCCCTATAAAATATGAATAAGAACTATCGCATTTCATTTATATTTTCATTATTTAAATATGAATGAAATGAATATTGTTGTAATCATGATTATCGATGAAATTTAAAGTGTAAACAGATACATTATTGTTTATTGAACTCGAAAAAGGTGGAAGAACTTAGATACCTTAAGGAGAAATAAGACAAACTATTCAATTTTTGGTCATAGAGCTAGGAGAATGAGCTTGAGTTTTTTAATTTCAATGATGGATCCGAGATAAATGTTGATCCCAGTGTTTGTGTCCGGATACGATGTTGTGTTGTTTTATGATTTGATTATTTGACATGCTTGATTGCATAGTGCCTAAACGTGTAGTATTCATAACTAAGGCATGTTATCCAATTTCCTTATTTATTAAAAACATTTTACATGTTTTTTCTTCATTAAAAAAAAGCTACTCGTGACTTCTTACCTATATAAACAAAGCCACTAAGTGACCTTAAAACCATTTCTATTCAAAAAAATAATTATTAAAATGAAATCATTGATAAATTTTTACTTATGTGAGAAAGTCATCGGTAATTTCAAAATTATTTTACTTGGTTTCGTTTATTGAAAAACGAAGCCACTCGTGACTTCTCGCCTATTTGAACGAAGTCGACAAGTAGCCTAAACCATTTTTATTCAAAAACCGATCATTGAAGCGAAGTCATTGGTAACTTCTCCCTTTTGTGATGAAACCATTGGTGATTTCAAAATCATTTTACTTAGTTTATATTCATAAAAATAAAAAAGCCACCTAGTGACTTCTCACTTATGTGGACAAAGCCACCAAGTGGCCCCAAACCTTTTATTTTTTTTGAAAAATAATTATTAAAATAAAGTTATTGGTAATTTTTCACTTATATGACAAAGCCACTAGTGATTTTAAAATCATTTTACTTGGTTTTTATTCATTAGAAAACGAAGCCATCGGTGACTTCCTATCTATGTGAACGAAGCCGTTAACGGCCCAAAAACCATTTTTTTTTCAAAAAATGATTATTGAAATGAAGCTATTGGTAACTTTACACTTATGCGATAAAGCCATCATCAATTTTAAAATCATTTTAGTTGGTTGCTATTCATAAAAGAATAGGCAACTAGTGACCTCTTTACCTATGTGGATGAAGCCTCTAGTGGCTTTAAAACCATTTTTCTTCATAAAAATGATTATTGAAATGAAGTCATTGGTAAATTTTTACTTATTTGACAAAGTCATCGATGATTTTAAAATCATTTTACTTGGTTTCTCTTTGTCGGAAAATAGGTCATTGGTGACTTTCCACCTATATGAACAAAGGTGCTAGTGGCTCCAAAACCATTTTTATTAAAAAATTAATCATTTAAATAAAGTCATTGGTAACTCCTCACTTATTTGATGAAGCCATTAATGATTTAAAAATCATTTTACTTAGTCTCTACTCGTTGAAAATGAGGCTATCGAGGACTTTTCACCTATATGGACAAAACTATCAATGGCCCCTAAAGCATTTTCATTTATTTTTTCTTATTGAAATGAAGTTGTTGTTGGCTTTCTACTTATATAACAGAGTTGTCAATGGTTTCTAAGTCATTTTATATGTTTTCTATTAGTAAAAAATAAAATTGTCGATGATTTCCTACTTATATGATGAAGTTGTTGGTAGCTTTTAATCAAGTTATCCGTTCCTTACCGAAGTAAAATAAAATTGTTAGTGACTTTTCACTTATGTGACAAAGCTATTGGTAGCTTTATGAACTCATGATCCGAAGCCGACGGTAGCTTCCAACTTATGTGAGTGAAGTTGGTGACTTACTACTCATTTCAATAAAGGTCGTTAATATTTAAAACTCACCTACTCATCAATATAGGCTTGTGTTCGCTAAAGATTAGCTAAAATTCTAATCTCTCTCACCTTTTTCCTTTAAGTATGAGTATTGGTCTCGAACTAACCTAAACCCCGAACTACTCTAGTATTCTATCTCCATAAAATAAATTCACTCAAATAAGTATAGAAATATAACATAATAAAACTAGATTTTTATTTTTTTCATGTATTCAATGTAGTATACCTCAAGTAGGATAGGATGACGGTGATGTTATATTTTTTCTATACGTAACCGACCCCTTACTCGATTTCTATACATACTAATTTATTTAAGGTTTCCTAGTTCTCCTTGATTAGTTAGTTAGCAACTTCCATTCTTGTTCATTTCCCTTACGGGTCCCCATCGACACACATTCTGAAGACTTTAAATTTTTACCAACAAACTAATTTTATACATTTGTCATTAATGAGTGTTTTTAAAGTTAGAGTTTATGAAAATTTTGTTTCATCCTATATTGAAATATTTATGATTAAAAAAATAATAGGTTTAAACTACATAACAAATTGATTGGACTAAAAATAAGCCTTGTCCAACACAAGGTCTTAAGTCATATAAGGATGAACAAATGTATTTTGACAAGATAAATGTCCATGTCTTATTTTTAGGATGCATTTAGGAGATTAGTTTAGTGGATCCGTAGTAGATTCTACTAAAGAAAGACCCAATTGTTCTTTTCTTTAGCTTTTATTTATAAATTAAAGGAATTTATTTGTTGATGTCGACCCTATAAGGAGTGCCGGACAAGGATTCACCACCTAGATAATCAAAGAGAACTAAAAAACCCTAAACATACCGGCCTATATAGATATCTAGGTACAAGGTCGATTATGCATGGAGAAAACATGACATCACCACCATCCCGTCTTACCTAAGGTGGGCTACGTTGTTTGTCTATGAACATAAAAATCTAGTTTTCACTATGTTATGCTCTTATACTTATTTAAATGAGTCTATTTTATAACAATATGAAACAAGGTACTTCGGGTCTAAAACATGATAGTTTGAGAGTTCATGCCGGTTTAAGGCCAATATTCCCTACTCAAAGAAATAAGGTGGGGGAAGTTAGAATTTCGATTAGTCATTAGGGAATACAACCACTTATCGATATATGGTTGAGTTCTTAAAGATAAATGACCTTTTATTGGCATAAGCAATGAGTCATCGGTGACTATACCGATACAAATGGGAAGCCACCGACGACTTCGAGTTATGAGTTTGAGAGGCTACCAACAACTTCATCACATAAATGAAAAGTTATCGACCACCTTACATGGCTCGAGCAAGGAGAGAATAACTAGTTTAGAAGTCACTAATAGTTTCATCATATAAGCGGGAAGCCATTGACGACTTCGTTTCGGACAAACAAACATTAAATAGAAATTATTTCAAAAATCACCGAGTGCTTCATCACATAAATGAAAAGCTACCGACGGCTTCATTTTTAGCAATTTAAAATTTAAGTATAAGGAAATAGAAAATAGGGACATGGAATAGGAAACAAAAATAGAAAACATAAAACATAAAATAAGAAACAAGTATAGAAAAAGGCAAAATGATTCCGAGACCACCATCGGCTTCATTATATAAATGAGAAGTCATTAGCGACTTCATTTTTCAAATTCAAAATTAAGTAAAAAGAAACAAAAAACATGAATAAAAAACCAAAAATAAAAACAAAAAAATAAGAAACATAAAATAAGAATCAAACAAAATGATTTTGAAACCACTAGGGACTTTATCACATAACCGAGAACCATTAAGTAGCTTTATTTTAACATTGTAATCGGACATAGCTAATCAATCAATCACAAAAACAAGTATAAACTTCACATTTAAACATGCGAGTGTAAAACAAGTAAAACAATATAGTTTGTCCTATAATGAGCACTACAATAATGTTTGATTCAACCATATTTAAATTGTAAGAATTTAAACAAAATAAAATAATTTTATTCATATTTTTAAATAATCTAACCATTTTTAATCCTCGTTTTTAAAGAGCATAGTGGTTTTAGAATTTTTATCTAAAGGTTATGTATCTCAAACGTCCGAATTAAAGTTAGTTTTAATCTCTTCGTTCTCGATAAAAATTGATTATTTAGTTAATCGAGAAAGAAGAGTAGCTACTTGCTAACAAAATGTCGTGTGGATCTTATTAAAGTGGCAAAAAACTTTTCCAAAATCTACATAAATTGTCAAGATTACCATTCGTCGCCAAAGTGGTCGTGAACTTATAAAGTTATTATAACTATACAAAATTAGCAATAAATTTACTATTGTATTTATCCTATCAAAAATCAACACAAAATCCAACCAAACATAATCCCACAATAGTAAAGCCTTTTTTTTCTTTTTGGCCTAAGATTAGCTATTGCTACTTTTCACAACCAATAAAGCTAACTGTTTTGTATATTTTTTTATTTTTGTTTCTATTACACTTGAATTGAAAAGGTAGTGTGTATGTTTCTTGGCTCAAAGATGGAAGACGAAGGGTCGCTTTGAGGTTGTAGAGGTGAGAAAAAGGGTCTTTGGTTACTCGGACGTGGTGTGAGGGAGGTTCGTGAACTATTGTTGGTAGGGACATGTAATAAAGGCACACCGATAGGCACGTAGCTATAAGGTACGGTTGGTCGATAGGCTATGAGGGATGAAGTTGTGCACATGGAAGAGAGCCCGACGACGGGGCGAGTGCACGCGAGGGTTAAGTTGCGTAGTTGGACTATACTATAAGCACGAGGAGGATACGAGCATTCGCACGCATGTAGGGGATGTTGGGCACTATGCGAGCGATAGCCTCCTATAAGGAGGAGCTGTTACATGAAGGTAAGGTGCGAGCTAAGCAACAACTAGTGCATGTTAGTAACTAATAGCAGTTGGTATGCGCAAGAGCTATGAGGAGGAGCTACTACGGTAGGGTTGCTTGAGAGGGACTAACATGCATTGGGAGCTAACTTGTGATGTTTGTTGCATATGCAAAGCTTGGCGAGTAACTACGAAAGGAAGAAGGCGTGGGGCTAGCCTACTATTAGGAAGAGTCGTTACACGCGGGCTTGGGGTAGTAACTATGTATGAGAGGGGCTGGAGATGGAGTTTTACGGAAGGGGTCATTGTGATGTGGGCAAGAGGGTTGGGGGATTTGAGAAAGAGGAGATAGAAGGGTTGTAACGGTTTGTCGAGAGGATATGTTAGAGAGGAGATGAAGGGGTTGTGGTGGTTTTTGAGGAGGTGTGTTAGTGAAGAAGCAGTTGTAGTAATGAGAGAGAGACTGGAAGAAGGTGGTGATGAATAGTGAAAAGTCTCAAAAATTGCACGGAAGTGGATTTATATAGGTAGGGGTTTTTAGTAAGATTCGTTTTGGTCCTTAGTTATTAGCAATCTGTCAATTTGAGTTTAAGTTTGATTTTTTTTTTTTTGCTTCGATAGGGCCTTTAAATACCAATTAATTGAGACTTTTCTTTTTTATTTCTTTCAATTATGCCTCCTTCTTATTTTAATTAAAGGATATAAGTTTTGATTTTTTTAATTGGGCCTTCAATTTCCCTTTTTATTACTTCGAAACTTTTCATTTCTTTTCAATTAACCCTCATTCTTTCTTCCGAATTAACATATGCTAATAGTTTCAATTAATTTTTTTTCTTTTTTCTTTTTACTTGGCATTTTGTTTGGTCTCCCATTGTTTCACTTCTTTTCTTTTTGGTGCTCATTTCATTTTTCATTTTCAATGTTTTTAGTGTTTTGCAATAAAAATAAAAATAGGAGTAAAAATAATAAGGGTAAAAAAAATAAAAAAAAATCAAATGATAACATTATTCTAAAAAAAATTAATTTTTTCAACTCAAATCTAACCTTCCAAGCATGAATGATGTGGTACGATCCTAGCAGATCAATGATCATTCATGTTTCACTATAAATACTCATATCGTTGTTAGAGGAGGTCCAACTTTCTAATTCATACCAAAACCTTTAAACATTTTTTCAAAGCTTTCCTACTCACACACTAAACAACACATAAAGCTCCATCCATTTGGACTTTGACAATCCATTTTTTCCTATCACTCAACTTGTAACTTGCTAACATCGATTGTTGCTCTTTTATGTCTCTCACTACTTTTATTCATTCTATTTGATTACTTGATTGTTGTTTCTATAAGTCATAATACTACCTTTTGGTATCCTAATAGGTTTATCGATTAATTGTTTGATCGATTCTCAAGAACACGATGTGGAACGATCATAATGGTCAACGACCATCCTCATTTAGCTATAAATATTACCTCACATCATTGTGGGAGGGGGAGGGGTCCAACTTTCTAATTAATAGCAAAATCTTTAAACACTCTCTCAAAGCTTTTCCATTGACACACTAAACAATATCTAAAACTCTATCTGTTTAGACTTTGACCATCTATATAATTGCCACTAAACTTATGCCTTGCTAGATCTTGTTTGCTCCTCTTTCTATGCCTCTTATTACTTGCATTTCTTCTACTTGGTTGGTTAATCATTGCTTTTATAAGTCACAACACTAATTTTTTATATCTTGATTGATCTCGTCTACTAGTTGTTTAATTAATTATCAAGAATCCTTCCACACAAACTTCATTCCTAAAGGACACGAAACATTGTTAAGATATTAGTAACTATATTTAGCAGGATAACTACTATTGTAAAACCTCTTTTATTTTAAACAATTACAAGTACTCGTCCATTGAGAGAGCGAGATAACTATGATCAAATCTTTAAAAAATAGAAAAAAAACATATTGAGGAGATATTAGAAACTAATAGAGAAGCATCATCAAGATGACTATGATTCACCGAGATGACCGGAATGATAGTTACCAACCCAATAGTCATGCCAAAACGAGGTATTTCTTCCATCATTGACCCTCCAAAAATAACCTTTTTCTCATAAGTTGGAAAACTTTAAGAATAACATGCTAGATAGGGAAATATTTGAGTCTAGAATATAATTCATAAGAAATAAAGCTCGAGATATCTTAATATTGTCATCTTAATTAAGGTTTATCAACAACCGTGACGATGGATTAACATAATTTACTAAGCACGAGTCCAAAATCATTAAACATGTGAATAACTTTATAAATGAAAAACAACATATTCAGCATATTATTATCTCTTCGAGTTATTTGCGGGTAAGTGAATTCCTCCCATATGATCATTAAGAAGGTTACACTTTTTTATTTATACTATTTTAGATGTAACAATCTATTTAATACTCAAATATAAACAAATTTGTTTCCACGTGTAAAAATTGATATTGAATTACATACACATACATAGTTAGGATTTGTAAAATTATACCGACTAATGGCTATTTTTTATTCTATTATGTATGATATACGAGTGAGAAGGCAATGCAATTGCAAAACAAAAATAAAATAAAATAACAACCCTATAGTTTTGGTTGTATGTACAACATCTTATGCACCTTTAAAAACACAAGAATCTTGGCCCAATTTTATTTAACATGGACTAAATAAAGGGTGCTATCAATTATCTATTATCTGCAGAGAAGTATTTTTCAATTCCACATATCCAATCCATAGGAAATTCCGCATGTCCAATCATTGTCATAACATTGTTTTTCTTTGTTTGTTTTTTTTTTTTTTTAGCATCAAGCTCGAAAAGTGAAAACCCATTTTGTTTTATAATCATATAATAAAATAGCCCATATCACTACGAAGAACATGAGCAAGTAAATAGAGCGAAGAAAACAAGGTAAGCCATCCTTTCACAAGTCACATGGATCATCATCCTTGATTGGCCATTCTCCTTGGCTATTATTCCTTTAGGCCACTTTCACTTTTCATCCTAGTTGAGAGAGCACAACAACGAAGCAAACTAAGAACAAACGGACCGAAAACGCTTGATGAAAAATGGATTCAAAGGAAAAAAAAAAAAACACAATCCTTCAACCTTAACGGAACCAAAACATGGGCCTTTAGTTCTTAGTTCTAGTTCATGCAATGACCAAGTCTAAAACCGGGGTTAGAATTGGTATCATGGTTTGATTGAAATGGCAAGAGAGTGACTTATATAGTAACTCATTGAAATACATTTCTTACCTTCTAATAAAATATGATATCTACCGCATGCCAAAATCATAGTTACCAAATCCAATTTCAAAACAACCTAGTTAGTTTTAGATAATTTTTTTTTAAAATAAGGCTTTATCGGGAGCTAGGATATCATTGTCCAACCAAAACTTGATAACTCGAGAAATTCTCAAATTTCGGGTTCACCCAAAGATACTATGATATTTTGATATCAAAAAGTCACAAGACCTCGGAAAATGGGAATCCACCCCTCCACCCTCCTAAAGTATTTCCCCCACAAGTTGAGCGCCAAAACTTGCCTTTTACCAAAATCTCCCTCCCTTATCATCTTTCAAAAGATGGAAACAACCTTCATTTTTATTTATTTTTTTCTAAAAAATTAATACTATCATCATATCAATTTACAGAGTCCTTTTTCCTATTAACTAATCCAAGCATATCAATCTGTAGATAAGATGAAAAAAAATGTATTCAATACTCACACAATTAAAAAAAAAAAACAAATTTACAACATCAACAAATCATTTAACTAAATACAAAATTAAACCAAATGCATAAGTCATGTTGATTTGGTCATAACCAAGTCATCATTAATGTATACCGCCTCCAATATAAGTAACTTAATCGAAATAATAATAAAAAAAACTCTGTACAAACTTACATATTAAAGTTCCACATCAATACCATTCTTTAGGAAAAAAAATTGTTACCGAAACTTAGAATTTTTTTATACATTCAAATTTATTTCGTAATAAATGAATTAATAAATCAAGCAGTAAAAATGAATTCAATTTCTTAAAAACAAGCAAATTAATTGAATCTATATAAATTAGTTAATTAACCTAAACCTGTTCACAAAAGCAACAACCTTTGTTAGCCCATATGATACCTACCTTCTCCGGCGATTGAAGCAATGAAAAGATGAAACGGCAAAAGATGAGAGAGAGAGAGAGAGCTGCAAAAGTCAGCTAACCCTAAATAGCACCGAGTTAGAGCCAGGAATGACTCAAAAAGCTGAGTCAAAGACATCAGCGCTACGGCGGTCTTTTTTTGGACGTATAAATACACGATCATCACAGGAAAAATCTATAATTTCACATCTATAATTTCACATCCAAATCATCTCCTCATTAATACCGAGTAAATTATAAATCCGTCCCTTTAGTTTTGAGAAACAAATTAACTAGTCTTTTTTATTTTAAAAATTAATTATTAGTCCTTTTGTGTATTTTATATTTTTTCTAATTTGTTTTTTTAAACGATAGAAAAAATAAAAATAATATATATATTATATAAATATTTATTAGAAAATAAGATATCTTTTGAAATAAAAATATTAAATTAAATTAGTTAACATTGATTAAAAAAATAATTAATTAGTTTTTCAAAACTAGAGGGATCAATGTATAATTAATACCCCCACTAATAAAAAAATATAAAAGAACAAGAAAAACGGAAAAAACACACGAAGGATTCGTCTTTCAGACCAAAAACTCAAGCCAGCGAGCCAGAGAGAAAGGAAAGAAAGAAACAAAGATTTATTAACCAAAAAAGAAAAGAAAAAAGAAACAGTGATTTAATTCTCTTAAATAAGCTCTTTCTTTTTATTTCTCTCTCTTTCGTTCTCCATTTTCGATCTGCAAATCAACGACAATCTTCGATCTGTCGTTTCCGGTCATCAATTCTATCCCGGTAACTCTCTTTTTCTTTCGTTCATTTACAAACCCTAGGGTTTCACAAGGGTTAGTGATTGTAGTTATTTCTTGTTCTTTTAATTTAATTTAACCCTACATTGATGAATAATAGTTTTGTTTTTGTGGATTTGTGAAAATTAGGGTTTGGAATTGAAGCGAAGGAGAAGGAAGAACAAAATTTGTTGAAGCATGAGCATCAATAGCCCCGGGAAAGGGGAGAATTAGGGTTTTCGAGTTGTTAAGATTCAGGTTTTGAATTCCATGGGTGATGGAGGTGTCGCATGTATGCCTTTGCAGCACAGTAGTAATAATATCATCATGGAAGAAAGATTTCCGGTTCAAGAAAAGCCTACAACAGCAACAGTAACAGCAACAGCTCCAACAACAACAACAACGACGACGACGACAGGAAAAACTGTAAACAATAACAGTAACAGCGGTAGCGGTAATACTGAGAATAATAATAATAATGATGTTAGTGGTGACAAGAAGGATAATGGGAAAAGTAATAGTAGCAACAATGGGGTGACTGGGAAGCTAAAGAAGGTGAAGAGGATAGTTAAGGTGAAAAAAGTGGTGAGGAAAGTAGTGTCGGGGGAGAAGAAAGGAGTGGGATTGGACAAAGAAGTCAAGAGTGCTGGTGGTAGTGGTAGCAAGGAAGTGGCGGTGTTGGAGAAGAAAGAATTAGGATTGAAGAAGGAAGAAACGAGTAAGGAAGTGGCAGCTGAGAAGAAAGAATCTGTATTGAAGAAAGAAGAAAAGAGTAAGGAAGTGGCAGCGGAGAAGAAAGAATCAGGATTGAAGAAGGAAGTGACAGCAGAGAAGAAGGAATCAGTATTGAAGCAGGAAGTGACAGCAGAGAAGAAAGAATCAGGATTGAAGAGTACCAGTGGTAGCAAGACAGTTGAAAATTGTGATGGTTTGGGTTCTGGGGATAGTAAGGTGCTGAGTTGTACTAATAATATTAAAGAGGAAGTTGAAGAGGGTGAATTGGGGACGTTAAAGTGGCCCCCAAAAGGGGAAATTGAGAATGGGGAGTTTGTTCCTACACCAGAGAAGCCAAGGAGAAATGAGATTGAGAGAGGAGAGATTGGTAGTGAGAAATGGAAGAAAGGGGATATAGAGAAAGGGGAGATTGTTTCCGTTAATAAATGGCGGAAAGGGGAAGTTGTTCGAGATGAAATCGAGAAAGGCGAGTTCATTCCGGACAGGTGGAATTGTAAAGATGAGTATGGCTACAGTAAGTCTCGTGGCAGGTATGACATGAGTAATGAGCGGACGCCACCTTCTGGGAAGTATTCAAGTGAGGAAATTTACAGAAGGAAAGAGTTGAGTAGAAGTGGAGGTAGTCTGCACAGTAAAAGTTCTATAAGGTGGGAGGGTGGCCAGGAGAGGATTATGAGGATAAGCTCAAAAATTGTTGATGAAGAAGGTTCGTATAAGAGTGAGTACAGCAATGGCAAGAACCATGGAAGGGAGTATGCTTCTGGTAACAGATTGAAGCGTCATGGTACTGATTCTGATAGCACTGAGCGCAAGCATTATGGGGATTATGCCAGTTCTAAAAGCAGGAGACTTTCTGAAGATGGTTCTCGCTATGCTTACTCAGACCACTATTCACGTCACTCTGTAGAGAGGTTCAATAAAAACTCCTCTTCCTTGAGAGTATCTTCGTCAGACAAGTACTCATCCAGGCATCATGAGCCCACTTTGTCCTCTAAGGTTGTTTATGACAGGCATGGTCATTCCGATCGGTCCCCACATGAGAGGTCTCGGTACTATGATCACAGGGATCGAAGTCCAATCTGTCATGAGAAATCTCCCTATGGCCGAGAAAGGACACCATATGGACTTGAGAGATCTCCATATGGGCGAGAAAGATCGCCATATGGACGTGAGAGGTCACCATATTGGCGGGACAGATCACCATATGGACATGATAGGTCCCCATATGGACGAGAGAGATCTCCGTATGGACTTGAGAAATCACCATATGACCGAAGCCGCTATTATGAGCATAGAAAAAGGAGTCCTGCTTATTTGGAAAGGTCCCCTCAGGATCGAGCCCGGCACCATGATCGCAGTGATCGGACACCAAATTACTTAGAGCGATCCCCACATGATCGGGCTAAGCCCAATAATCATAGAGAAGCAAGTCGAAAGGGGGAGCAACTGAGAAGCGGAACTCTCAGTATGGTAGTAAACAGCAGGAGGATAAGATCAGCCAAAAGGATCCTGATGTAAGGGACACAGAACTCTCAGCTAAGGAATCTCAAGATAAAGATAGTGTGCATAATCTTGATGGTTTGGATGAAAAGAATGCCAGCAGTGAAACTTACATAGAAGAGAAGTCTGAGAGCCCAAGGATGAATGCCAAAGACTCTCCTCAAGTTGATGGACCTCCTCCTGAAGAGCTGCAATCTATGGAGGAAGATATGGATATATGTGATACTCCACCCCATGTACCTGTTGTGGCTGATTTGTCGACTGGCAAATGGTTTTACCTAGATCATTTTGGTATGGAATGTGGCCCTTCGAAGTTATGTGAGCTTAAGTCGCTTGTTGATGAAGGAATTCTTATGTCTGATCACTTTATCAAGCACTTGGATAGTGATAGGTGGTTAACTATCGAAAATGCAGTTTCACCGTTGGTGACAGTGAATTTCCCATCTGTTGTACCAGATGCTATAACTCAGCTAGTAAGCCCTCCAGAGGCACCTGGTAATCTATTGGCAGATACTGGAGATATTGCGCAATCTTTTACTCAGATTGTTGAGGGAGTGCCAGGGAATTTGCTGCAGCCATCGGTTTGCTGTGATCACAGTGCAATTGCATCTGAGTCTTTAGAAGATCTCCGGATTGACAAAAGAGTTGGAGCTCTGTTGGAGGGTTTTTCTGTTTTTCCTGGCAGTGAGCTAGAGACCATTGGAGGTAGTTTTTAACTTTCTTTCTTTTAGTTCTCGTTTTCTAGCATTAAATAATGTTCTGATTAGTTAATGCTAATGTTTATTTTTTGTCTGTTTGGAGATTTCTAACCATCTTTTTTCATTTTTATCATCGTGCAGAAGCTCTGCGAATGACATTTGAACATGTGGAATGGGAGGGATTGATAAAAGCTGAAGGTATATAGATGAATGCCATTATTAAATCCTACAATTACTTAATTTATTTTCTCGTTTTCTTGGGTCATCTACACCTCAGTGTTGCACATCTTCAGAAAGTCTCCCAATATTCACAAAATAAATCAATTGCCGTAACAGATTTTCTGGAAATATTGACTATTTTCCTCTTGAATGAACAGGTTTTACTTGGCATCGAGCTGCTGCTGCTGCTGAACAACAGGATCAAAACAGTGATGAATTACTAAGACATTCTGATGTGAAAACAAAAGAAGCTGCCGAAGCATGGCCAGGTACTCTTGCTGACAAGGATGATGGCTTTGCCTCTTCTGTTGATTCTGCTGACTGGTTTTCTGGCCGATGGTCGTGCAAGGGTGGGGACTGGAAGAGGAATGATGAGTCCTCCCAGGATAGATTTACTCGAAGGAAACTTGTTCTTAATGATGGATTCCCATTGTGCCACATGCCAAAGTCTGGGTGTGAGGACCCACGGTGGCATAGAAAAGATGATTTGT